CTTCCAATCAAATTATCCCAGCTAAGCATCCACGTTGATTCCATATTTATTTCCCCCGTACGTGTAGCTTTGCTCTTATGGGTCACGCGAAGGGAGAACGGACAGCTTGGCACTTTACTAGGGAGGGCCAATGACGTGGTTGCTTAAACCGCCGCATCTTTGCTAGGTTGCGTCCTTCTCCTCTGCGTTCATCAATGGGTGATCTAACCGTCATGATGAAGCCATTGTCTTGCGCCCGCCGTCCGGGTGGACCACGTTGCGCGAGACACCGACGAAATCCTCGCTAGCCAGTACATGTGGGAGGGAGAGAGGATCCTAGCCAGCGGCGAGATGGTGATTGATGACGATGTCATTGTTGTTGGCTTATGGGGAAGCACCGTCTTGTCGGCAACTCGGCATCGATTAACCCTTGCTTCAGACAATGACGTGGTGTAGGATTTTATGGATGGAGGGTCGCGCCGAATGATGGGGGTCATGCTACGTTGGAGGCTGTGGCGGCCATCCTTGAGCATGCACTGGTGCAGAACCGTCCAATGCAAACGGTTTAAGCACTCAGCATAGGCATTTTTTCCAGTAGTGACATCTATGGGTGTTCCCTTTGGGATAGCAAATTTGATGTGCTGCACTCTCATCCCTCTTCTCTTTAAACTTCGTCGGTTCGCTGACTGAGCGTGAAGGAGATTGTGGGTTCCACTAATTGACCCCGACGATAGTCCCTTTTCGACTCCGAAGAGGAGCTCGTCTTCGACTCCGACTAGATGGTGTCGGGACGCCAACATAGTTAGAATAATTTCGAATAGCTGCCTTGCCTATCTATCTAGTCGTGTATGTGTATGATATATCTATTACCCTGTGCTTAGAGCCATGAACATGGCAGGGAGATACTTGAAAATAACTTCACCATGTGCAAATTTATTACTAAATATGATTATGTCCATCATGATGATGTAGAGGCCGGATCTTCCCCTTCTAAAAAAAAGGTCTGCTACTTTTTGGTGATTTCAATTAAGTTGTAAGATTAGCATGCTGTCATTTAATCGATGGTGGGATTTAGCAGCGCTATGTGGTTTCTATTTGCATGTTATTTTTCATCCATATATTGAGCCTTGCATCAATAAAATGAGGTGTGTGCATGGAATGATTCAAAGACTGGGATAATGACCCTTCCGTTGCATAAAACGAGTGTACAAGTGGTTATTAATATATGTTCACACAGGCTTCTAGCTAGTTAGTGACGTAGAAGCATATTTCACTCAAGATTGAAATAGCTCGGCCCGAACTTGAGACTTGTGGTACTTGGTAGATCAAAGTGCCCAGATTTTGACAATTTTGTAGCTCCACCACTGCCCCCTCGGACTTCTCTGTTTCTTTCACATGGCGACCCCTTTCAACACGGAGTTGCAAGGCTCTTTGATTCATAAGGGCATTTCTAACATATCCCTTAAAAATAGCAGAGAATCTGACGGAGTAAACCTTCCGTGGAGTATATTTAATACACTAAGTTTTGATCGGTTCTAGCCGATCCCCTAAATTTAGCGAAGTAAAGTTACTTTTTGGCTTATGCATTTCGTCGAACACCTGCCATGCGTGTCTGCGACAATGGTGACCACGCCGAAAACGCTGGTGGCCACTGATGTGCGCCACGCCACAGGTTTCCACCCGGTGCTCTCGCCGTGCCGCACCATGACTGGCCACAGTCACGGTCGTGCTTGTGCTCGGTGAGGATGGTGGGCCGCGTTGGGGTCGCGCGTTGTAGCGCGGCCGCCCTTTTTGAGAAGCCTATGCATACATGGCAATTATCCGGTTCATTCATGCATGCACGAGCTGGCTTCTAGTCCTGTCGCACAGGGCCTGTATGATACGTATAGTACAGGCAAGCATGGCATGAGGTACTGGCCTGGTGTAGCAGAGGAGAGCAGACACTGCCGAGGCGCTTTTGCACACCTCTCCTGCGTACGACCACGGATACAACGATTAACTTGAGCGACTGTCCAGGAAGGTTTTCCCGAGTGCCGTTGGTTGATCCGCTGAGTCGTTGAGGTGAGATGAGCTTCAACGTGTGCCCTGTGTTGCGTGCAGAGGAGAGCGTCGGTGTAGCCGTCCGACACGTCCACTGAAGCGGCCCTTGCAGCAGCGGCGGCGCGCAGGAGCAGCAGAGAGAGAGAGAGCAGAGATTTTACTTCGACCCGTTTTGATGGAGTATATTTAAGGAAACGGTTGGGGCCGGGGTAAATTTTTACACCCTTACAGCGGATAAGGGATCGGCCAGGTCCCGGTTAGAGGAGTAAAACCGTATTTTGGCCCCTCTAACCAGTTATAAGGGATTGGTTAGAAATGCCTTAAGTAGGTTAGTTGTTCAGTAGTTTAATGGTTCATATAGGGAGTGAGTATTATTTCCTCCGTTTCTTCTGAATATAAGACCTTTTAAAATTTTCCATATGTAGTACATACGGAGAAAAATATGTAAATATATACTCTAAAATATGACTATACATTTTTCTATGTAGTCGGCATTGAAATCTTTAAAAGAGCCTATATTTAGAAACTGAAGGAGTAATTTAATTGGACTAAACTACTACTCACTGTCTCACTTCCTATATGAATAGCCCTTGTGATGTTCAGTAGTTTAACTACGTTCTCCATTAGGCTCTTCGATTCGTAAGTAGGTTAGTTTGTTGGGAAAGACTGTCGAACCACAAACCATGCATGCTCGGTCATTCCAAAAAGTAAACTAAAAATATGCATGCTCGGTCAAAAACTTAGGCTAAATTTCAGAAAAACAAAAGAAAAATAAATAAATTAGTCTAAACTCTCTTGAACCAGTGGGCCTGAACCTGATGTTATAGACGTAACAACTGAACCCTATGCTAGACGCTTTTCTTCTTGCTAGACCTGAACATGATGCAGTGATGCTAGATTGCTAGAGAAGAAAATTATGGAAAACATACTGCTGTATCATCCACGTATTGAAACCTGCTTTCAAATGTTGGATTTTATTCATTCATCCCACAAGACCCTGCCTCAAATTGAAACATGCTTTGAAATGTTGGATTTTATTCATATGCTGTGCAACTGCAGCAACGCAAATATGATACTACTGTACGTATCCGTGTGCAGGCACAAGGGTCAAGGGGTGCATGCGGCCTAACCGACGACGGGCGTCTGGACGACGACGCCGGTCGCCGCGTCTGACACCACGACGACACGCCAGGGGTGCGGGCCCGGCGGCCAGGGGCCCGTGCCTATGTACAAGGAGATGGAGACGTCAGGCCTGTCCTTGCTGATCTGGAGCGCTGCGTCGTGCGCCGGCCAGCCCACCACCTCCGGCCACGACGCCTTCTTGCTGCCGGCGACGGCACCCGCGGGCACACTCCTCCCCATATTGCCCGGTGCTACTGAAACTTTCATCGGCTTGTGGCTGATGAATATAGAAGTACCTAGTAAGCCACATTTGATGCTACTTTATAGACGCAAATTTCTTCCACAGAAAGAGGTGGTAAGATGACGGGTTGCATCATGTCATCATCAATAAAAGATAAGGATTATGGGTTGCATGGCGGACACCGCCGTCCTTTGTTGGCTGATGGCCAGCGTCGGTTACTAGGAGAGGAGAGCATGCAGCCCTTCTCATTCTCCTTTCTTTCTAGGAAAAGCAGGAAGAAACTTGATGACTCGTGCAGACTACCGAGCACATCGAGGATAGCCAAGCACGTGTTCAGACTGGTGTCTCTTCTACTACGTATTACCCGACCCACCTATCATCATTCACAATTGCAGCCGTACGCACTTTGAGGTACCAACGTCGCAGCGAGAGACTGGAAATAACTTCGCCGTACGCACTTTACTACTACCCTCACAGAGTCCATGAGCACAAGCCATATATATCATCTTCGCAGCTCTGTGCTTACAAATAGATGACACACAGGAACATAATATGTGGGGAAACAATTTTCGTGACCTGCAATTCTCAACCGATCCTAGCCCCGCACCTCTTAAGTAGGTTTTTTCGTTCAGTAAGCGTATGAAGAAATAATCACTGGGTTGATGCTGATGCGATTGTGGTGCACCCAAGCACAGCTTCGGAATGGGTGGCATCGTGAAGTATATTTAACTTCCTCGGTCCACTAGTCAAGAAGTGCCGATGCAGCCTGGAGAAAGTTCGGATTGGCTTGCCTAGCCTGGATCAGTCCAAATGAAATGTTAGCCCGACCCAAGCGCTACCCTCTACTGTTGGCTTTGGTCCCGGCTGGGTGTACGGCTTTGTCTGGACGGTTGCTTTCCGTCGAGGAGTCGCACGCACACACCTTGCTCCTCATGCGTTTCTGGCCGGCTGATACTTTTGGCCAATACAAGCGTTGATACGAGGGAGGCTAGTTTGCAAGGTAGCAGGTGGATGTATTCCGCCGAGATCGATCTACCTATTTCACGGGGGCGATCTTATGGCTAAAGGCCCGTATCAACCCTTAGATGTTTATTGCTTTTGATCTGGTGTTTATAGGGGGGAAATGTACAGGTCTATATAGTACTATACCTATTCCTACCTATACACAAACGATCCGGTCAGGGCTACATGTCCGTGCCGAACTCAATTGCTTTTTTGGCGCTAGCTCCAATAATATCGTTTACCCATGATTTTTTGCGCATGGGCCTGGCGCACTGAAGCATCTTATGTGCAAAAAGAAACAGATTTTTTTTTGAATTTTCTACTGTTTGTTTGAATTTTACTGTTCATCAAGTGTAGATGAGCCCGAGCTCGGAATTGATTATGTACTTCACTTGTTGATAACATTGACCTTGCCGCATTGCATCAACTATATATGTTCCAGCCTTGGTTTTTGACCCCCCCCCAACAACAACAACACTGATCCCATGATTATGGTTTTATGTTAATGTAGCAGATAAGCTGGTAGTTAATTAAGCGAGTCAGTGGTTGATTCTTTTCTTTGAGTACGTATGTACTTGGCCTATTGATTGCTACTCTAGATCTGATGGAACATGTGCTATCTGTGATAATTAATGTTTGTGCAATACGAGTTGCAATATTTCAGATACGTGGTAGATAATCGCCATTAATTGTTAGAACATCTTATAAGACTGCTCACAGTGGGGAGTAACATAGAGTAGTAACTTGCTAATGTTACTAGTCTATGTTACTACCTCCATAGTGGGTAGTAACATATGAGTGGTATCATGAAAGAGTTCATTGATTAGGCTATAGACTCATTATGCCTTGAAATATGTGATATTACAGTAACTACCTAAGTTACCACAAACCCCTCTCTCCTCATTAATTAGCTACCACATAAGCAATCTTGTATTGAAATGTGTGATATTACTATTTAAGTTACTCCCATTATGACTAGTCTAAGAATGCCGCCCCATGTCAACAATCGTCAAACATGTGGAAGACACGGAAACTTCGGTTTCAATGACAAGCCATGCAAGAGATAGTTGATGTTGAGTATCGTGATTATTAGGAAATCTAGGATAGCGTAGGATATTATTCTACCTTGCCTTATACTCCAACATAATCATATATATGCCCACGAGGCTCAAGCAATACAACGAACTATTCCACCCATCTCTCTTTCTTCGTTCTAACATGGTATCAGCCTAAACGATCCAAACCCTAGCCGCCGACGGATGCTTCCGCTCGCGCGCCATCCCCGGGGCGGTCGGCCTCCATGACCGCTGCCGGGAGCCGCGCCGCCCGTATCTAGGATTTATCCGCCGGTCGTGTTGACCGGCTGCCCTAAAGAGTCTTTTTCCCGATCATTTGATCTGAGTTCTCTCTCTCACCGGTCACTTTGGCTGACGTTTATTCTTTGGTTTTTCGATCTAAGATCGACTTGCGTCGCCAACCGCCGTTCGTCATCTGCAGCGCGTGTCAACTTCAACATCGGATCAATTGGTTGCTGCACGGCACCCCGCTTCAAGGGCGTCATCTGTATTGACGCGGCGGCTCCTCGCGCGTCCTGCGCCGCTGCCGCTCACGCGCATGCGCTAATGTGGCTGCCGCTAAGCTGGCGTCCGCGGTACGCATCCAGGAGCCATGGCTCACGTGCATGCATATGAAGACACACGCACGGGTGCACGTTCTGGACAAGGATGTGTTACACGGCTGTAGTCGATTTGCATCACCGCTCGTCCGTGTCTTCTCAATTTTGCTCATCGCGCGTCCGGTGTCTTCTCAATTTTGCTCATCGCGCGTCCGGGCGGATCAACCGAAGCACGTCTCCGTAAGATTAAGTGAAGATCAACGTCAAGTTTACACGTCTCTCCGCCGATTGAGCAATCGGCTGCCGCTGTGTCGCCTCGTCGGACCACAGCACTGCCGTCCCGTGGTTTTCTTCATGGCTGCACCGACCCGTGCCGTCACTGCGCCGCCCCTTCGGACCGTAGTGTCGCGGCACGTGATCCCTTCATCCGCCCTGAGGCCGTTTCCGTGGTTGCACCACCGCGCGCGTTGCCGCTGCGTCGTCCCTTCGGGCCGTAGTGCCGCGGCCCGCGGTCAACCGCCGCACCGAGGCCGTCCGCTCCAGGCCGTCCCCGATGCTGCACCGACCCTCGCGCTGCCGCTGCGTCGCCCCGTAGTGAGCGTGGCACGCGATCACTGCAACCGCCCTGAGGTCTTCCCCGCTGTCGCCCCGACCTGCCTGCCGCCGTTGCGTCGCCCCTTCGGGCCATAACGCTGTGGCCCAAGGTCCACCGCCGTCCACGCGCGTTGACTTCCGCGTGATATGCGCCGCGCCGCCTCCCTTGGCGCGGGAATGTCACCGTCCGCGCTGGTCTTCGTCATGCTGTCGGGTTCATTATCGCCTACTTCGAGCACCGCCGCCGCAATCCTTCTCTAGCCGCCGCCGCCTCCTTAGGCCGCCGCCGCCGCTGCTCTTCTTTCGTGGCTCCACGGCGACTACCTCGACACCGGCGACACCCGACTCGACACCGACCACGGCGTTCTTCGCACGGCTACCTCGACTACGGGTACACCACCTACGCTCTCGGCTACCTCGACAAACGGCACAAAGGGCTACCGCCTTGC